GGAGGTTCTGAGGTAGGAAATCAATCAGTTCCACTTTGTTATCTTAAAATACAGGTCTGTAGGACCTAACTCTTCCAGCCTTTTGCAGGAAACTGCCTTTATCTTACAGATAACAGGAATATTCTTGTCAACATCCAGAGGGAAAATGGGTGGTGCTGGGCAGTGGGTGTGCTCAGGAGTATTGAAACAGTGAGGGAGAACTGTGGCTGTGATCTGAGAGGTGTGGCACAAACTCTGCAGATTCTACTCCACTCCCACTTCACAGAAACAAATAATAGCAGATTAATATATAATATATATAACCATTATCTAATATAATGTATATAACCATTATATATATACACCAATATATAACACCATATATATATAATATAAATACCATCTATAACCATTATCTGATATAACCATCCAGGTTATATTAGATAATGCTATTTTCCCTCTGGATTCTGGGAATACTTCCCTTCCTGTCTTTAAATTAGCAAAAGGGATAGATAAATCCTGGAAATTCTTACACAATTATTTTAGCACCAGGGTAGTTGAGTGGGCTCTTATGTGTTTATCCCAATTATTTATTTCTATTAAGTCTAAAGTCATGGAAACATTTTGGATACTGACAAATTCACATTACCTTGTAATTGCTTTGATAGTCCTCAAATATTGAAGCAGTGTTAAATTTCCCTGAAAATCACTACCACTAAATGAGTTTTGAGTGTTTCCTCATATTTATTGTTACAGACAATCTAAGGAAGAGTATGAAATAGAGCAGGAGAGAAAGAGGACTGAAGAGGTGAGTGCCTTACCTTTGTGTGGGTTATGGGGATGATAAGGAATGCCCTGATATTCTGTCCTGGCTGTCCCAGATCCCTTCCATCAATGCAATATCCCACAAGCATTACAATCCCTGCTCAGCACCTGAACCCTGAAATCCCTGCAGATCCAGGGAGCAGCTGAATTGCTGATATTGTCAGGATCAAAGAGCCTTCAAAGTGTAAGCTGCTTGCAGATGGCAGCACTCCTAATCCCACAGGAATTCCCTTCAGGATCCCTTGATACACACTGCAGTTATTCATTAAATGTTCACGAGAGAGAACTAATCAGCAGCACCCAGAAATCCTCTCCAGAGACCATCCCCGGGTGTCCATCAGAGTAACCCACAGAGGAAGGAAGCTGAATGGAAATGGGGAGTGTCCAAACTGTGGAATCATGGCAATGAACCCCCCTTGATGGGAAATCAGGCAGGTGTTATCCAGATCTCTACAGACCACCAAGAACAGCAATATTCCTGATAAACAAGCCAGACTGCAGAGCCCCCAGTCAAGTTCACCTGCCAGAGAAGGTGACAGTGTTCAGTGATACGGTTTCTGTTAAAAGAATGTTTCAACACAAAATTTCATATTTTAATGAATGCCATGGTTAATCAAGAGCACAGACAATTTCTGGGCAGAAATTCTGAGGGAAGGGCTGGATTGTCTGTAATTTAAACAATTCAGTTGTAATTGGAACTTCTTGTGGGAGATTCCTTTGTGTGGCCAGTTCAGTACCTGGGGTGCAGAAGATTTTGTAACTCTTGGCTTTGTTTGTTTTCTAATTCCAGGCACGGGCTAAACACAAAGCTCCAGATGTTACCCACCAATTTCCTGGAGATTCAAGAGAAGCTGTAACAGCTCAGGAATCCACTGAGGGAGCTGAGCAAAGTCCAAAATGCCCATTAGGTAACTTTGGGGGGAGTGCAGTGCTGATGGGCAACGTGATGCTGGTTTTAAATGATTCAAGAATCCACTTGGATCAAGATTTTAACAACTTGGCTGGATAAGGCTGTGAGTAAAGTGAATTTTCCTACAGGAATGCCTTCCAACATGGCATGTCTTACTATTCCATGATGTTCTGCTCTGATTGATTACTTTTATCTCATGTATATCTATTCTTTCTAATTGTTTTCTGTGTAAAATTACTTAGAGGGATCTCATAAATCTACAAAAGAAGACCCCAAACCAGTTTGCCCAGTACAAAAAGGAATTGAAAACTTACCCCAGCCCTCTTGTACCAAGGGGAAAGAAGACACTAAGAAAAGTTCTGCTGGGAAAGGTTCAGAGAACACAGTGCAAAAAGCTGGGGTGAAAGGACCTGTAAGTTAAAAACAAATTTAAAAAAATGGCAAACATAGAACTAGAATGCAAAAAGAGAGGATTACATGTAAAATATATATTTTAAATAGTATTATATTTTAATACAGAATTTCTCTTATTGCAATCAGTTGGATTTGGGTTATTTTGGGTTTTTTTTAAACAAATATGTAAACACTTTCATGTTATTCACAGTTTAATTAGCACAAATTCATGATTTCTGGTTTCAGAGTAGAATGCAGCAATCAGTCCTTTGGTAATTTCTTAGGAGACAGCTCTGATTTGAAGCCTCAACTTGGATTTGTTTGCACCTGGTAATTTTGGAAGCAAATAGGATATAAATTGTTCTTTTCTTGCACAGGACATTGATATAAAATAATGAATTTCAAAATTTTAAATTTTTTCCCCCCAGGATTTATCAGAAACTGAAAAGCAGCAGCTGAAGCAACGTGAGGATTACCTAAAGAAAAAACGAGACCTGCTGCTGGCTACGAAGAAAGACTCAAAAAATAATCCACCAGCACCCAACAGTGATCAGAGAGAGGAGGAATCCCCTCCCAAAGAGGTGAAGCTCTTTCATAAAAACCCACAGGCTTTCAGTGCAGGTGTCCATGCTGCTGCTGAAGAGTGGAATGGGTTACAAAGAATAAGGGGGAAATATTTCCAACTTCCTGGTTTTGCAGAAGTTTCAGTGAGGGAGTTGGCATTGGTTGGCTTCAGCATCATCAAACCCTGCTGATTAACTTCACTTTATGAATGGATAAAATGCCAGTTTGCTCCTGGCCCCTGACCTACTGTTTGGGCTCCTCAAATCTCAAGGATTTTCTTTTTCTTTTGCAAATGCTTGAAAGCTCTCTGAAAACAGAGGAAAATACTAGCAGACCTTAAACCCCTTACATTACAAAACAGTGTAGTAACTACTCTGTTTCTAACCCAAAAATCAGTACTCTCCTTTATAAAGTACCTAAGGGTGTGAACTAAAGCCCAAAGTCTTTCTGTTGCCTCAAATATTTTTCAGAGTTGCTGTGCATTCAGTTATGCTCAGAAGTGCCTGGGGAGCCTTCAGGACAACTGCTGAGCAGGAGCTGGACTTGGGGCTCCCAAAACCCAGATCAGAGCAGGGTGGTGGGGGAGCCCCATGCACCCCTCTGCTCCATGCTGGGGCTGCTGGTTCTCATTGCAGTGTTGTTTTCACTCTGATTTTAGGAAGTGTCAGAAGAGAAGCAGAGGCTGCTCCAGAAGAGGAAGATGCTTGCAGAGAAGCTAAAAGAAGAAGTCATTAATAAGCGGTAGTTTTAAGAGCTCATTGCTGACCCCAAGAACACAGGGATGTTTTAGAGTAAATTACCAGTAAGTGAAGGGATTTCCAATCTTGCCCTGGGATTTATAGAACTCTCAGACAAGCAGCTCAGTACCTGGTAACTCCCTATTGCAAATGCCACTGAAGCACACCATGAACACTCGTTTTCCAGAGTGCTGGGAACTCCCTGACTGCCCAAGGCTGTGCCAGCACTGCAGAGCACAGCCCTGCTCCAGCCCTGAGCCACCACAGGAGAGCTGGGGAAGGAATTCCTGTGGCAACAGCTCCGAGCTCAACATTGGAACTTGGTCATGTCAGCAGTGCAGGAGGTTCCTTTCATTAGCCCATTATAAACAAATGGCTCTTTCTCAGCTGTGCAGTGAAATAAAGTCTGGTTTCACAAGGAAATGCACCCTCGACCACCTCATTTGTGAGAAAGCCAAGGTACCTTGGGGGTCAGCACATTCACAAATTAACTCCAGGTTACAGAGCTTTACAGGCTTTGGGGGCAGTTTCCCAGGTCCCAGTTTGCAATAAATGCAACTTGAAATAAAAGTAGTGCAAAGCTGGGACTGTTCCCAGCAGTTCACTGCCAGAGTAGCAGAAATCTTTTTTAAAAAGTCCTTTTCTGGTTTGGCTTTCACAGACTCAAAAAGAAGCCAGGAGTGGTCACCCTTTGCCATTGGCATGGCCTCACTGAGAGGTCACCCTTGGCCATGACAGGCCACGGCTACTCACAGCGAAGAGACAAACCCACCCCCTCCAGTTTCATGGAGTTTTTATTAAAATAGCATTTAGAACTGGTACATGTATGGCAGTGGAAGGGCCCAGAGAGGAGAACATCCGTGGTGCCCACGAGGGCAGATGGAGCCAGCACCAAGGGGTGACAGCCCCAGGGAAGAGGCAGAGCTGGGTCTCACCTTCTCCTGGGAGTGCAGGCTGGTGTTCAACAGGATAGCTGCTGCCACTTCAGCCAATCCTTTCCTAGGAACTGTAAAAATTCATGCCATTCTTGGTTCTGCTGTGAGGCCAGCTCCTGTTTGTGTGAGTGTGGTTAAAGCTCCTGCTGCACGTGAGGAGCAGAGCAAGCACTGACACTCCTGGGGAGAGCTCGGCTTGGGAGGCTCTGAACAGAATCAGGAATGGGGTCCACGCTCCAGGTGATGCCTCTGGTGCTCCTCAGGTGAGTGAAGGCACATCCCAGGTGCCTGCTGCTCTCATGGCCTGGGAAGATTCTTTACTGCTGGAGACAGAACCCACTGGGAAGCAAAGCAGCTCAGAGTGAGCACACGAGGATGGTGCTGCAGCTTCTCTCTACCAGCAAACACTTCCTTGGCTCTGGAGCTGATGGCTGCTCCCTCAGAGTCCTGGAGCTCTCTGGGGACAACTCCACTGTCCCCAGGTCCATCAGAGAACCCATGTCGTGCTCACACCTTGGGAAGAGCTCACCCATTCCCCCTGGGATTCCATCCAGTGGTATGGAGCTACTGCTGAAACCTTAAACAATATCCTACAACGGCCACATTGAGAAGTCTGAGTTCACTTACCATGTGTAACAAACCAAACCAAAGCAATAATTATGGAATTACAGGGTCACATTTTAATTCCTGAATTTTACAGTTCAGCATTAATATCACCACATGTATACAAATGGTGTAAAACAAGTACAGTGGTATCTTTAATACAAAATAAACTTCTGTTTTATGGAAAAAACTATACTTCATATCTACACAGACAGCCCATCTTTTCCAAACAAGAGCTAAAATTAAAACTAACTACAAAAATCTCCAAAACAGAGAAACTGCTTCAGTTTAAACTATTCCAGGAGAAATGGACCCATAACACGTATTACAAGTGATCTATGTGGTGGATTGCAGCTGGTTCCATCTTGAACATCTCTGACACAGTCGCTGGGAAATCTCCTCTCACTCAGTCATGATCTCAGATCACATATGGGCAAACTAACATTAAAATATTTACAGTTCATGTGCTGCTCTTGAAAATAAAACCTGGACTGTTTGCCTCTGTCACCTTGCCATGAGCTCCCCTATTCCCGTCACAGTTCACTCACCTATGTGGAATGTGCTTTTGTGTTTTAAAAAAGCAGCTTTTGTACCACCCCAGGTTCAGGTGCTGCTTGTGGATCCCATCTCCAAGCCCTCAAGGTGTTCTCCTGGCAATAATCCTGTCTTGGTCCAAACTGCTTTGGTGTGAAATGCTGCTCAGTCCATCACTGTGGAAAAGCTGGGAGTGTTTGTTATTCCCACCTCAAGCATGCAGCTCCCAAACAGGGGAAGGGCTGCCCATGAGGAGCAGCCCCTGGGACACGTGGAGCACGTTGGAATTCAGGCCCTGCCCAAGCTGAGGATGTGCTGGGTGCAGCCCCACCATGACACAGGCAGCTCCTGCAGAGCCTTGGGAAGCCTCTGCTCCTTGCCATCGAGATTTCTGGACGTCTCACTGACAAAACAAGCAAAACCTTCCGTTTTGAATCCAGCTTCCATTCTCTCCTCTTGGAAAATACAAATTAAAACTTATTTGAACTGTTTTAAACAACTCAACATGCACTATAACTGCAGCGTCCCTCCCTCCAATCATGAGAAATGCATTTTAGTTGGTAATAAATGGTCCCAAAATATGGATTGTTCTTATGCAAACGGAGTTAGTTTTCCCTTAAATTTTTTTTAAAAGAGGCATTGCTAAAAGAACACAACTGACAGCACCATTACAAAATTAAGATTACGGGGTTCAAAATTTAAGCTTGCATTTTTTTTCCTAGTTCTGTTAAACAATGGGGAAACCCTGCAATATTTTTAAAAAAGTGTTACCATACCTTTCCCTCCCCCTTTCCCTCCCAACACCTGAGACTTTCCTTGCTGAGAAGCCATCATCCAGGTTCTGAGAATACTAACCCACCTTTTTTTTTAATTTTTCTTTTTTTTGACAGCCTGAATGGCAGACTCCTTACTTTCTAGAAAGACATTAAGTTCCTCGGAAGATTTGTGTTTACAGAACTAACCCTTTCTAGCTGATACACCGAGTTTCTTTTGCTACTCCTTGTATTATCTTATATACTCATGGGAGAAAGCTTTCTGATTCAGATTCTTTTTAGCTCTTAAAACAGTTGCAGCATTTGAAACCCCATAATAAAAGTTCTTATTCCAAAGTTTTGGTTTCTTTTATGAACCCAGACGAGGTCTTTTCCTTGGAGATGTCTCCTCCTCTTCATCATCATCTTCATCATCAGGATAATCCACTAGCCCAACTAGACTTCCCTGCCAATTAGAAAAGGAAAAAGGAAGTTTTTATATTGAAGAAGTACCTAGAAAGGTGCAAATTTTGAACAAAACCTCCAGCCAACCTGTCTAGGGCACACCAACCTTTGGCATTCCAAGTGTCATTTATATGGAAAATAGGTTTGAACCTCAAACTGCAAAATGTACTGGAGCTTCCTCACTGCTCTGGGTCTGGATTGGGAATTGTTTAAAAACCACTTCCAAGCCAGTGGGACGGACACAAACTCCAGTGTGCAGGCTGCCATCCCTTTGTGCTCAGCCTCAGGGTGGGCAGTCACTCCCTGCTGCACGGGCCTGCAGTGCTCAGGAGCTCCATGGCTGAGCATTCCAGTAATGCCCAGCTCGGTCTGGCACCACCCAGGGCTCACTCGCTGCATTTGCCTCCTCTAAAGCACTGGGCAATTCCCCAGCCACCAACACAGGCACTAACAGAGCTCCCACAAACCCCAACTCCCTGTGTACACCCAGAGCAGCAAGTGAGCAGCAACAAAAAGCAGAAACAGTGAAACGATGCAGAGGATGTGGGATGAGAGTGCACCAACAGAGTGCAGCCCCACTGAGCCTCCCCGGAGCAGTGAGGGATTCACTGCAGGGCTCAGGGTGAATTTATCTGTTCCCCACAGAGTTCTCCCACCTTGGGGGCTGGCACTGCCGGGCTCAGGGCCGTGCTCTTGGAGGAGGAGCCGTTGGAGCTGGCTGGTGATGTCTGAGCTGCCACGGATTTGCTGTTTGCACCGTTCGCACCGTTGGCTGCGCTGGCTGAGTGGGAAAAAGTGAATTTGAATCCCCCAGCTGAAGTCCTTTTTGGAAGATTCTCTTTGTCTTCACTCTCCTTAGCTGAGGGACAAACATTGTCACACTTAGGTATCAGCTGCACACCAAGGAGTACAATCCACATCACAGTGCAATCGCAGGAGACAGCCAGCAGGGATTTTGGTTCCAATTCTGCTGCAATTCTCAGTTCCCCAACCAAGCCCATGCTGAGCCCACCAGCAGCAAACTGAGCAGGGCCTGGATGCTGAGGGCACGGGGACGTGGCTCACCTGGAGCACACAGGCACATTCAGAGTCCTGCTTTTGGATACCATTTAAACTCCTTATTTAATCCTAAACTGGCTTGTGAAGACACATTGGGATGTCAAGACTCAATTACATGGAACACCCTGTGCTGCTGCTCGAGGTACAGAGCACAACCACGGGTGAGTGTGGGTGACACAGCCATGGAGCACTTCCAGTGCCAACAAGCTCAAACACAGTAAATACCTTTTTTAGTTTCCATAAATTTCTCATAGCTATCTGGAAAATCGTCCTCCTGTTTTGACTTCTCAACTGGAGGTACAACAGCTTCGCCTTCTTCCTCTTCATCTTCATTGAACCACATTTCTTCATCCTCCTCCAAGGCTCTGGCATCCCTGCGGAATCTATTGCTACGCAATATGGATGGGACACTGTAAGAGACACACACAGGATCCCAGCTTGGCTGCTGCTTCAGGCTTCAGAAATGCCTCCAGAGCTTCAGAGGAACTCAGTGCATTTGAGAGGGCAATGCAGCTCCAGCTCTGGTTCTGCCTCACCCCGAGACTCACCAACACCCCAGCTGATGATGAGCCTGAGTCCCAAATCAGTGACAGAGCAACATTTTGCTCTTCTCTTAGAGAGTCCTCTCTCTTCTTTAGAAACTCTCTAGTGTTAATTATTCCAACACTCAGAGTTTTCTGACCATAACATTCATTCCACTGGCCACCATCAGCTCTGCTACACTTGGCCACAAGGAAAGGCAGATGGGGCTTTCCTCTAGTCCAAGAAGTTTTCACCAAGAATGAACCCCAACCCCAGTCCCAGCTCCTGCTGCCCTCTGGGAAAGGCAAAAGCAAGGAGCAGAGCAGAGCAGCAGCCCCTGCCAGGCTCAGGACACAGAAACTGAGACCCACCTGTTCAGCTTCTGGCTTTGTCGGTCCTTTTCCTGCTCGTATTTTGTCTTCAGTCCCTTGAAGGTCTGAACATACTCAATAGATTCAAGTGCATTATAGAAGTTTTCAACTATATGTGCAATAAGGGACTTAATATCTTCCTGCAGAAGAACAAAACAGGGTTTCAGCCTCAAATGGGCACAAGCAATTCAGAAAGCTTTTGAGTTTCCTTTGGAAAGTAACCGATTTCTTGCCCAGAGCCAAAGCATTATTGTACAACATTATACAAATGTGAAGCATGAAATCAGATTTACCCTTAATAAATAGATGAGATTGCGAAATAATTATAAGGCTCCCCATAGAAACAGACAATGGAGCCACCAGCGTCCCAACTGTAATTGTGACACTTCAGTTAAACAAAGATCTTTTATGTAGGAGAGCTGTGCCCTGTCCTCCCCACAGGCTCCAGCTCTCTCCAGTCCTCAGCACCTACAGCAGCTCATGTGGGACCAGGAACCTTTTAGTCAGTCTCTCACCCTATCAGGCAAACCCTACAATTCCTAATGTTCTTCTTGCTGGAAAAGACAGCAGACACCATATCCTACAACTAAAAACCACCCTTCACTTTCACAGAGCACGAAGATTCCCACCCAGGAAGGCAGTGGCAGCAGGGGCCCAGGAGCTGCCCAAGTCCCTGTTTCCCGAGGGTGCCCCTGTGAGGGCACAGCCGCACTCACCACGCGGATGAACTCGAAGAGCTCGATGACAGCAGAGTTGAGCAGGTTGTAGCGAGTGCCGTTGTCCAGCAGGGCGTTGATCACGGGCTCAAAGAGGTTTCCCTTGGTGATGTAACGGTTGTAGAATTCATCCTTCAGCCCAATTATCCTCCTCATAAAGCGAAGAGCACCTGGGGGAAGAAAATTCAAGGAGTTAACAACCACATGCCTTGTGGAAAGAACTGAAACCCCTCACGTTACCCAGAGGAAGATGGGCCCCAGTCATGGACACATTTTATGAAAAATCCCTTTGCAGGACTTTTTCTCCTGAGAAGCTGAGAGGCTTTAGGAACAAAATGTAAACAATGATTATCTGCTGCTGTGGGATGCAACAAGTGCATCTGGGATTGGCCTCATGTGGTTGTTTCTAATTAATGGCCAATCACAGTCCAGCTGTCTCAGACTCTCGGGTCAGTCACAAGATTTTGTTATCATTCCATTCTTTTCTATTCCTTGCAAGCCTTCTGATGAAATCCTTTCTTCTATTCTTTTAGTATAATTTTAATATATCATTTACTTATAATATATATCATAAAATAATAAATCAGCCTTCTGAAACATGGAGTCAGGATTCTCATCTCTTCCCTCATGCTGGGACCCCTGAGAACACCCCAGAGGCCCCCAAACCCAGAGCATTGCAATCTCACCCACACCACTAACACAAACCCCACGTGTACACTGAACACCTTCCTCACAGCCCCACCATGCCTGCAGGAAGGAAATCACAACAGCTCCATACTCACACAAGGCCAGAAATGTGTGTTTTGAATTCATCAATACCAGCACTCTTCTTAGCAAATCTTTGTTCATAATGTAATTCTTGATGTGATATGTGTGGTGTTCCACACAGAAAGTAAGCAGCTCCAAAATTAAGGCAAGTAGTTGTGCTGTTTGGTAATTATCTGCAAGAAAAAGGAATAATTTCAACTTTCAGCAGCAAGGTTGACTAGGAAAAAAACCCAACCCGTAACTTCTAAACAGATGAAAACGTTCCTTTAGCTTCCAATTATCTCAAGTGAATCAAAGCTCCTGCATCTACTTCAGTAAAAAGTATTAAAAGAAATAAAATATGGGCATGCCTAACTTTTTTTTTCCTAATAGAGTACCATACACAGCACACAAGGCAAGTTTCAAAACTCAAAGTCAATTCAGACTTACCAGGACAAATTGTATTACTCTTAGTGGATCCAACTACTGCATCTGATAAAGAGAAAACAAAACCAAAAATCAGAAAAAGGTTTTCAAAGCACTGTCAAGATGTAAAAGATGAGGAGAAACAATCAGTTCTACCAAGTGGTCAGATTTTTCATCAGATCAAAAGTTTGTGAGATACAGGGACATAAACAGGCAGCAAGAATGCAGCCAGGTGAGACTTCTATATTTAATTTATCTTAATTTTAAATCCATCTAGGTGAAAATGTATAACCTAAACCTTAGGAATATGATACAGAATAAAAGCACCAATCCTAAATTTTTCAAATACTGCATTAAAATGAGTGCAGTCTAATTTACAGACACTTCATTTTAATTACAGCCAATCTCTGCTTTACAGGTAGTATTTTTAAAGTGCAATTAACAATGGTGTATTAGCATGATTAACATCAAGGAAGTGCAGCAAGGACCAGCACTGTCTGTCACTGCCAAACACTACAGGCCTGAAAGGAAGAAAAAGAAAATAGAAATATTCAGTACCTTTTTCACATTTATCCTCTGATGTATTGGCCAGAAGTGGAGCAGTGAGAACGTGCATACAATGGTTGTAGAAAAAATTGAGAAATTCACTCTTTTCTGTTTTCTAAAACAAAAAATAACTTTATTAAACACTGGGATTTATACACAGGCTTTTAAATAAGAAAGAACAGTAACACAGGAAACAGCCCATACAGAATTCTAGTGGCTCCTTCAGGTCTGCCTGCATACCTGTTGGGCCTGCAGGTATATTATATATATATAAATATATTGTGTTCAAGGAAGATCAGTTTTTGCATTTTGGGGGAACTAACCAAGCTCACCCTCACCAAAAGATCCCCTACTGAAAAAACATCAACTCAAAAAGCTTGACAAAACTTTTGTTGATAAACACCTGCCCAATGGCCCAAAATGGAAACATAAGGCTTATTTTAGGCTTGTTTAAATTGAGTATCAGAGCAAACAGAGAATGTCAGGTTTTCAGCTCTGCTGAGCCAGTGCAGTGTCTGTACCCCCACACCTGCTTACATTGGCTGTGGCCAGCATGTTCTCTGGGTCAATCAGAGTTCTCAGCAGCCCCATTAACTGCACAGCTCCCCCCAGCTCCGGGTCTGTGTCACAGATCATCTGCTCAATGACCACGTTGATGAGGAGGATGTCCTGCAGAAAAATCCCAAACAAACACACCACCCAAGTTAGACACGGTTTCAAGAATGGAAAATCATTTCTATAGTCTCTGTAAATTTGTGAAGACAATTTTAAATGAAATAGAAGAACTGAGAGTTGTATTTGGATACAGAAATTCTGGCAGGCACAACCCTCCACACCTACAACTCTTGTTAGCCAGAGTTCCAAAACTGTAAACTCATACAACAGCAACATGCTCAGAGATGTCTGTATATTAAACCTACTTTTTCCTGTACTTCTAGAGGTTTGTTTTGCTGTTTTGTTTGTTTCCTCCTTGCCCAAAGACTCAACAAACTGCAAACCACTGGGACTTACATCATCACTCTGCTGGGCCTCTTGCATCACAAATTCTCGGACCATGGATGGGCTAAATTCTACTAGATAAGAAAATATATCTGTAGCAGCAGATCTAACTTGCAGATCATCCATTCCCTAATAGAGAGAGAAATTGATTAGCAAGAACAAGTTAAGCTGGTATTTATTATCAAGTAAAGCTGAAAGGAATAGGTAGTTTTAAATTTTGGGAACATCTCATTACCAGAGTTTCTATGAGAAGCACAGTAATAGGGTTACAGAGAAACAACAATAAACCAGCAAAATGAATTGCAATATTCAGGCAGCAACAGCTGCTCCAACCACAGGAGTGAAAGAAATTCTGTTTTCCCACTGCTGATTAGGACAGATTAATCTGCTAACGACAGGATTATGGGATCTTTTGGGAGGAACCAGCCAACAGTTCAAGATTATCTAAAAATACTTCTTGGGCCCTTGGCCAGCAACAACCACAACAACAATCCAGCTGCACAAAGAGCCTCTGCCAGTTTTTACAGCCCCTTGTCCCAAGGACTGTGCTGATCACACGCTGAGAACACCCAGAGCAGCCAGGTCAGGCACCTCAGAGCTGGGGCAGCCTCTGCACTGGGAATGCTCCAATCAACTCCCACTCTCAAGAGAACAAAACTGGCACCGAGGGGCTCAGCAGTGCCAAAACTGCCTCAGTGGCTGCAGCTCTTCTGCTTGCTTAAAATCAGCTTGAAGTTTCACTCACCATTACAATTTCAAGAGCTGGAAGAATTCCCAGCTTTGCCAAAGTTTTGAAAAACGCATCTCTGTTCTGAGGTTGTAACGTTTGAGAAAAGGCGCAGAATTCCTTGAAGAAGTTCACCTGTCACACAGGGAAAGGGAATTCGAGCATTTGGGTCAGAAAACTCTCTGAGAGGATCAAACAGTCACATTTTGGGGCAGAGTTTGTGTACAGAAATCCCTCAGGGACTGCAGGAGAGCTTCCCTGTGACCCAGAGCCCTGGAGGCAGCACAGGGGCTGGCACTCACCAGTTCACACCGTTTGTCATCGTCTGTAGCTTCGTCTGTCAATTGTGCAAAAACTTCTGATAAAAACTTCTCGTCTTCCTGTGTAACACACAAAAGGAACACACCTTACACAGAGCTTCTGGAAAAGAACTTCCATCCCTACAGGAGCCAGCCCTGCAGCAAGTCCAGCTCTCCATCCAATTCATCCCAAAGAGACAAATGCCAGAGCACACATCCAGTGGGATCTCTCCCAGGGCATTGTTTCAGCACTCCCTCTGAGCAGCAGCAGCAGCTCCAGGAGAGCAGAGCCAGGTGAAGCTGAGCTCAGTGATGGTCCCTAAAACTGCAGCTACAAAGGGACAGCCAAGGGACAGCTTTGCAGCCATGTCCCCAGCACCTTACTCACAATAAAACCTCTCCCACTTGCACGTGCTCTGCTTTGCCAAGCTGGGAAACTTTATGGACTATTACTGGGTTTTCACATTCACATCCTCTGTTACCAAGAGAGATTTCAGCATATACAGGAACACCTCACTTCTTGCAAAGCATTTCAGTTACCCCATAAGATCAAGAGGTACCCAAAACCCAGGGTGAACATCAGCATCTCTGAAGGGTTCAGACACTTTCTGTCCTTTCACATTGAAAACAGTGTTGGAGTTCTCTCAAATTCAAATGTTTCTGTTACCTTTTAAAGACAATATAAATCTGACAGCAAACAGTAACGTGCTACAGCTGTACAAAATTTTGCATCACTGTATCACTTCAACTCAATAAACTCGTGCATTGAACAAAAATGAACAGAACAGCAGCATTCCAAAACATATACATGAACTTGACTTTATATAACACAGAATGTGCTTACCTCGCTATTTTGCTGTGTGCTGTCACTAAAATGTCTGCTTTATTACAGTAACAATACAGAATTTTTACAGTTACAGCAATGCCAACCAAAAACTGGCAAAAAAACACCTTTTCCTGACAATTTTCAGATGTGGGGATAGAAGTGCTTTACAAACAAATGATACCTGGAATCAACATCACAGGGAGTGCAACATACACAGATTTAGTAGTTTATTTTAAGCTTTGCTGGCTTAAACAGCTTAATTAAGCCTGGTACAAAAAAAACCCCCAAAGCACACTACAATCAACAGGAGATAGAGTAGGAAATCCCTACTGCAGAACAGCTGAGCACAGAAACATCTCCTGCCTGTCTAGGGCTGTGTGTCCTGAAGCATTTATGGATGGAAGGATGGATGGAGGGATGGATGGAAGGATGGATGGAAGGATGGAAGGATTCAGTACTGTAGAGCCCCAATGAAAAAAATAACTCTATACTTAAAAATCTCTAAATGCAAACAGGACTGTGGCCTCAGGAGCCTAATACTGAATTTATTTTTAGGTTTTGAAAATATATGCAAAAGAATTTAAAGGAAAATCTTTATTTAACACAAAGCTAATCATTTTGCAAGAGGAATTTAATTTTTTGTTTCTTTCTGCTATAGAGCCACAAAAATAGTAGAAAGAAGCCAAACAGCATACTCATGAAATTCTCTGGAATTACTGTTTTATTTTCCAGTCCTCTATTGAACTCTTTACCATTTTTCACCCATATCTGAACTCATTAACAAATTCAATATGGATGTTATGGAGGTCCAGTGCCCCTTTCTCTCCACCATTTTTACTCCTTTCCTCTTTTCCTCAACTCCTGGTGTTTCACAGAGCCTCTCCACAAGAGTATGGGGTGAGTATGTGATGTACCCTACACAAATGGACCATTTTGGACACAGATAAACAGAATAAAGCCACTTGGGTACCCATGAGTTTGCACAACACAGCACCAAGTGAAAGCCCCAAAAAGCCATGAATTCACCCAGCTCTTCACTGAGGCTCCTTCCAGGGTCCCACCCACCTTGGAGCCTCTTCTGCCTACAAAGTGTGCAGGACAGTTTTCCATGAAGTAACAGCTTGGTTATTTACTAATTAATACTTCTGGATATCAGTATGAAAAAAAACCCCAGCAACTAGTGACTTAATCTTTAAGACAACAGGAACATTTGAAATTACCACCACGATGTACAGTAGTGTGACAGGAATGGTTCTGACCATGCTCTTTAGAATCCCAGATCCAGAATTTGCCACAAAACCAGCACAATACAACAAGCTTCCTGTTCTCTAAATGCTTACACAAACTTTGTCAAGAATTGTATGTTGCTTGGCAATGAAGGAGAAAAATCTTCAGCTTTACAACTCATTAACAAATATTCATATACTCACCTGAAATGCACCTCTTCAAAATACAAAATCAAAGGTATCAGAGAGCAGGGCAAGCATTCAAAACATTGTGCAAATGATGTGTGTGATTAAGTGCAATCCATTTTGAAACTACAGCTACAGGCATCTACAAACAATCCATCCAGACCATATGAAGAACCACTTACCTGCAACATACTGACAATCTCAACTTTGTTGAAGAAAATAAAGGAAGTGAGGGTAGAAAGAAAATTCTCTTCAAAAACAGATGGTGTCGGGAGGATGATGTCCTGAATATACTGTACCCTGTAAGTCTGGTGGATTTTTTGCCTGAGTTCAGAGTCTGTAATAGGAATAACCTCCTTAAATTTTGCTGTTTTGGTCAAGAACTCCCTGTGCCGTTTTGGCTGAGCCAAAGAAGGATCATACTCCAGGCATCCAACCACATCCATGATGCACTCGTCAGAGAACATCACCTCAAACAGAGTTGCTTTGTTGAGGAACAAAATCCCTCGAATAATTTCATACAAATGATGCAAACCTTCGGTGTTCTCTAAATTCTCACAGACTTGGAAAAGCTGCAGCAGTTTTTTAATGTAGCCCTCGTTCTCCAAGGCCAGGGCCAGCTTTTCCCTACGGATGGGTGAGGAAAGAACAGAGGTAACTAGGTCAGCAATCTCTTCAAGTTTGTTGAGTTCACAAGTAGGAAGGTCAATCAGAGGGCTGGTTTCAGGCATCTCCTCGATGTGTTCCTCTTCTGACTCTATCAGGTCCTGCGTGACTTCCACTGAAGGATCCTTACCCTGAACCTGAAGGCAGAGTGCACACAGTCACTGTCTGATCCCAAAAATGAGCAGGTCAGAAACCAAAGTAACAACACATCCCAGCTGCAGTGGGATCTGAGCCCTCTGGTTCTTACAGCACATTTGCAGTTCCACAGCACTCTAACAAGCTGCTTCTTCCTCTACCTGAGGCCAGCTGGCAGAAGGACAACTAAAGCCTGGAACTCTGGCAGTCCCTTTCTAAAACACAACCACACCAACGGCCCCAGAACAGCGACCACCTGAGTCTCAGCATTACAGTGATTTTACCAAGGCCTGACATTCAACCATGACAACAACTGGTGCTCTAAGCAGGGGCAATTTAAGACCTTGCACAGAAAAGAACAAATATTTGCTTGCTTTACAAGCAGGTTTGAAAAGGATGCACAAATACATCAAGTCACAGAAGACACTAAAACACCTCGAAGAAACAGCATGTTTCAATTTACTGTACCTGGCAGATTTTTTCCCAAATTTCATCACAGCCAGCTTTTTCTTGAAAACTCAGTGCTAAATCATAGTTTTCTGCTTCTGACCAAACAATCAGGGTGTCCTGTTTGAGATAAAATCAAGAAAGTTAATTAATTGTTTCTGAAACAGGTCTGCAGTACGTATTAACCTCTACTCCTTTAAAGCCAATGTCTACAAAATAAATAAATTTAAAGTTACACTTGTCAAAAAAAGCATAACACTAAAATATTATCTAACCTGTTCTGCCATACATCAACTTTCTTTCTAGTTATTTTATGACCATTACCTTACACAAAACATATTTAAAGACACTATTTTTCATATCCAAGCCACTTATGATGGCATTTTTCTGCAAGATACATTTCTTGAGCCAACAGTCTTGAAATGGGAATGCACACACTAGATTAAGAAAACCTACAATACAACAGGTTAAGTATTTCCATATTTAGTAAGGTAGAAACAAATCCTCTAAGATTTCAGTTTTAGAAAGTGGAAGAAAAGTGTTTATATCTAAGTGAGACATAATGCCTAGTTAATGTTCAAATATTCCTTTCTGAATTAAAAGCCATACAGCCTGAATAATACAAATCTCCCAGGTTCTTACTGAAGTTACAACCATCTTGCCAGTTATTTTCATTTGAGCCAGGTTTTCCTTCTGTTACTATTGTGTCCATCAATTCCATTTGTGCACTTGCATAGCAGACCTGGAAGTTTTGATGGAATTTCTGAACAGGCAAAAATGGTTTTGGCAGAGGCTTTATCAGGACACTTGCTGCTGTCCTGTAAGGAATGCAAGGCTGTACTTCAACATTCAGTTGAATATTTATTCAAGACAATACAGAGTGGTTGTGGTTTAACCCAGCTGCCAAGGAAGTCCCACACAGCTGCTCATTCACTTCCTCCCAACACTGGGATGGGAAGGGCAATCAGGACAAGGTGAAAGTTCTGTTCTTGAGGTAAGAACTGTTTCAAAAATGAAAGAAAGTAAAATATAATAATTATAATAGTCACAGCAAAAAAAGGAAGGGAAAGAAAGGAATAAACCCTGACAGGTAAGTGATGCTCAGCAGCACCTGAGCAGTGAGTGGCCCCTCCTGGCCACCCCCCAGTTTATCCCTGCCCGTTATCCCAGTATGGAACATCCCTCTGGCCAGCTCAGCTCCCTGGGCAGCTCCTCAGTGCCAGGGCACGGGGAACTCACCAGTCCCTGCCTGAAGGGAAGCCCTGCCCAGCACCACCTCCAGCACCCCTGTGCTGTCAGTGCCACTGTCACCCTGAACCCAACCACAGCTCTGCTCCAGCTGCTGCCATGGAATGAACTCTGTCCCACACAAAGGCAGGAGAACAGTTCCCCATCCTACAGCAAACTCATCTTCATACAAAAATATCCAAACTGAGCATCTCTGCTAACTATCCAGAATATTTGATGAGCTCCAGCAAAACTCTTCAACATTCCAAGTCTGACTTCCACAGTTACCACATATTTTTAAATATTGACGTGTTTTTTAAACACTAGTAAGCTTTTGGTTAATGGTCAGTAAGGTAATTAATTCCCACATTTACAACATTCAATATTCACCATACAACTTATCAAGGCTGGTTAGTGAATACAAAATATTAAGAGTGTTATCTTTAAGCTCAGCAAGGAAACCCAAAGATACACCTGATGATATTCCTTAGGCAGCTTCAGGGGCAGTAAGCTTTAAACAGACCTTTGTAAATGAAGTTATCTGGGCTTGCACAGCTCAGGGAACACTCCTCTACTTCCAGCTGTGAGGGGACTGACAGCAGGGCAGCAGGTTCCCTCTCCATCAGCAGTTATTTGGAATACACACATCTGTCTCAACAAACACAACTCCCAGCTCTCAAAGCTACCACTGGAACATCAATGAACATCAGCAGCACTGATGCAGCATTAATTCTTCATTTCTACAGCAATCCTAATTCCTCAATACCCATGGGGAGCTGTATCTTGGGGGTTTTGGCTTTGCTTTTTTTTTTCTTTGAAAACAAAGTTAAGAATAACATCACCTTTGACAAATGCCTACCAATAGATCCATTTCCTTCTCCCAAAATAATCACAGGCCACACTAAAGACAATGGAATTTGCACAGGCAATTTTTTCCTTTCTTACTAATGTTTACACATTTCTTTAGAGAAAAAGTTTCCCTGTTGTGGAAAGAACAGGATTCAATGAGTGAACAGAGTTCACTGTGGTTTCAGCACTGTTGTGAGTTGTTTATTTATATTACAGTGTCCTATATTACACTTGCACTTTTCTCCTACAGAGAAATATTAACAGGGAGCCTCTCTGCTGTCAGGCTCCACTCACAGCTGGTCCAAGCTCTTGGAGCTGACATGGTTTTCACTCCCAGCTGTCCCCCCTCATCTCCAGCCCAGGACCTCTGGATCTCTGTATTTACCTTGTGCCATTTCAGAGTCAACAACTCAACCGGGCTTCAAGGGAAAAATAATAATTGTCAACTGCATGCATTGAAAGCTTCATCAGCTCCCTGATCTGGGTCTTGTTCAGAGATTAATAAAAAAATAATTCTTAAGTACAATTTGATGGCTGCTATAGAATTCCAAATGTGAAATGTTTACCTTGAAATATTCTGTGCAAGTGCTGATGCCCTGACACTCAAAATCAATGCACTGCAGGTAAGCTGAGCCTCAGAGGTGCTGCACTGAACAAAGAAGGACACACACACTCAGCAGCCCTATTCATAGCCCAGGATGATTCAAGTAAGAGAATTAATGCAGTAACTTCAAATGACTCCAGGCACCCAGGGACTGCAGTCAAAAATTTGTGAAAATTCTCCAGTTCCTGAATGGTACTTGTTACAATCTGTACTGCCCACACAAAGCAGAAGTTATATAAGCTTTTCCAAAAATATTTCAGAAAGACTGAAAGATGGTTTCAACAGAAAATAATTGTCCAAAACCAATATAAGACGTACTCATCTGGCACACACTTCCTGCATGACCTCAGACAACCCACGAAGAGCAGACAGACAGACAGACAGACACCTTCCAGGCCAGGCTCCACCACTCCCACCTGCTCAGAGGCCATGCTGCTCCATCCATGAGCAACAGCAACGTTCCTTAATTCACTCAAGCACCATAAAGGCAAAAGAGATTAATTCTGAACAAAAACTGAAACTGAGAGCTGTTCAAACCCTTCTCCAGTGCTGGTGTGCACAGTGCCTGCTCCTCCACCCTCTGTGTTCCTGCACCACATCCCCATGCCAGCAGCAGTGTGGGGAACACGTGGGGATAAAATGAATCCAGCAGGCAGACATGTTTCAAACTGACTCAGTCACAAATCCAACTCCTGCCTCTGGATGAACCAGGAGTGAAGAAACCCTCTGGCAACTGCTGGGGCTGGCTTTGACAGCACCCCTGCAAATGTGATCAATCCTGGCCACCAGGAACTCCTAGTCTGCCTTGAGCAAAGCGTTCTGTGGTCACACAGTGATGGAAACTCTGGCAAAAACAGGATCTGCACACCATCTTCATCTCAGAGCTGCAAACAGAGCACACCCAAGCAAAGGAAACAGCAGAAGGCAGCACTCCCTGTAAGGATTTCTGCAGCAGCTCCATTTCTTCAGCCATGGACTGGCTCTCCTGCCAGCTCTGCCAGGCAACAGTAACCTCAAGCAGAGGCTGAAACATCACATGGGTGTGTGGAACCTTTAAAAGCCCTCCTGCCAGAGCCTCCAGAACACATCTGAGCCTGCCTCTGGCTAACATGGGGTGTCCAGCAGGGGTAACTCCCAAAGCCTATGCCCCAAAATCCAGGGGGACCTGAAGCTCTCCAGGCTCTCGTGTTCTTTGCATTCATCCAACTAGAGCTAATTTACACTGTATGCTGAGCAGCTCAGCACCTGCCTGACCCATCCAAGCCCAACTTCCCTAGAGAAAGGGAAAGTTGTGATGACAGTGTGCCCAACACCTGGGCAGAATGAATTCCCCAGGAACCACAAACAGGACTGGAGCAGGAGGTAACAGGCCTGTCCTGTTTGGGGTTAGTCAACAGCTGCAGCACAGCTTGGCACTAACAGTGCAACACTGGAAGTCACAGACTGATGCACAGCACTGAAAAATCAGTGCTGGTTTCCTTTTTTCACAGGACGCTGTTATGCAAACCCAATGAAGGGTTAAGCACCCTCTGAGTCCAGTCAAGTCATTTACACGACAGATGTGCAGGCAGGGCATGCTTCTGTTCCATCCAGCTGCACCACCCTGCAGCTTTCCCCAAACCCAAGGCCATCAGCACCCCAGATCCAAGGCCATCAGCTCCCGCAAACCCAAGGCCATCAGCACCCCAAATCCAAGGCCATCAGCTCCCCAAATCCAAGGCCATCAGCTCCCCCAAATCCAAGGCCATCAGCTCCCCCAAATCCAAGGCCATCAGCTCCCCCAAATCCAAGGCCATCAGCACCCCAGATCCAAGGCCATCAGCACCCCAGATCCAAGGCCATCAACTCAAGGACAATGCTCTGGGTCAGCTAAAAGCTGCACGAGGTTGTACAAACCTTAAGGAGCAAACAGTGAAGAAAAAGCTTTCTGCCACATGGACATAAAAGCATTAGTATCAGAAATAAAGCCAGCCAAAATAAACCTCAGTTTTAGTGTTTCTAAACTATGATCTACCTTTTCCACAAGAAAAATGGTAACAAAAGTTACCTACGTCACTTAAAACTGCTACCATTTAAGTAAAAAAGGCCTACAATTAACCAGTTGTAGTTTCAGGAAACAGGGTGTGAAGGGAAGCACTTTAAAACTTTAAAGCACCAAAATCTGCATTTGTATTTCACTGTGTACAGGTTTCCTGCAGTAAACAGGAAGCAGTTCAGGACTCTTGGCTTCTGCAGAACTCCTTGCTCAGCATGGCCCCCCAAGGAAAGCCTGCAGCCACCAACCCCTAACCAGTGAAGAGCAGAAACCACAGACAGCAAACAGCCCTGGAAAGGCTGGCCCAAAACCACCTCACTCCTAACCCAAAGTGAGCCAACCCATGTCCACAAGATAAAGTCTCCTTCTCACACTGTAACTTGTCACTATAACAGAACCCTCAAAGATGTGTCCCTCTGTGACTTAGGAAGAACAAAATTACTGTTTTCTACAGTGCTGAAACACTCCTGGATACCATAAGGATAAAGAACAAGTATCAGGCACTGAAGGAACAGAGACTCTACTGTAGAACAAAGGAGCAGAGAGAAAAAACTCCAGAAAACCCACGAGAACAATGCAGGCAGAGACATCAAAAATGCGTGCTGAAAAAGGGAAAACAATAAAAGCAGAAGAGATTCAGTAAGCTGATTTTTTTCAGGGGATGAAACAAAAATAACCTATTAACACAGCTCCCAACTGTTTTACTTTGTCTTGCAGGAGGTTTACCCTAGGAAAGGCAACTCTCACCGTGGCTTGTGGCCTTACCTAGGACTACAGGATCCTTCAGGGCTAAAAATAAAGACTAAACAGCAACAACAAAGAAAGGAGTCCCACAAAGACAAATTCCTTCATGTTCTTTCCAAGAAAAGAACTCAATAAATAAATAAATACACTTCAACAGGGCTGGTCAAAGTTTTGCCTCTCTAATTTTGCAATTATTTCAGATGGCCTAGCATGGGAGACAAAAGTTACACATACATGCTTCCAACTATCCTTCCTGTAATGATTTCAATATTTCTCCAAATTGCACATATTATCTTCAAAGCCTAAAGTCCAAAATGGATTTTTCTAGAAGACCCACATATTAATTTCTAGAATGTGAAGTGTTCAACATCCATAGTCCTCTCAGCAATTTTTTCACCTCTAAAAAACACCTATAAATTTTTTCACCTATAAAAACCTCTATCAATAATTGCATGTCCTCCTGCTCTTCCTTTTTTCCTGAAAAAATGCAATTACTCCAAGCACAAAACAATTCCTCAGCACCAGCAACCAGAGAAAGTAAAGCCTAGCAATCATACTTGCCTGCTGTTTTTGATATGCAGTATTTGGATTTATCTTCGATTCTAACAGTAGTGAACCTGAAAAAGGTATGAAGAGAGATTTACTGAATCCAACAAAACAAACATCTCCACACATCTCACACCACTGCCCACGTGCCAGCCAACAGACTCTCAGCTTAATCCAAATCTCACAGAAAATCCACAAGAACCGCCTCCTTTAAATATAATTTCCTAAAATAAGCCAGGTAAAACAAAATTCAACAGGAATATCCCTATTAAAATACATTTTTCTCCTTTTAGTCCAAAATCCACTGTAGCACTCTTTTCTCCTGAAATCTGGTGCTAGAACCAGCTTTTTTGGTGGAATTTTAGGCCAACTATAGAAATTCCAGCAGGTAATGTGCTGCCCAGCATAAAAATGTTTTTGTCCAGAGCAGCCACGTGGGTCACTTGCTTTGACTCCCTTCAGCTGCCCTTCAGAAGTGAATCACCCAGCTACTATAAACGCAGGGACTTCATCTTGTGTATGCAAGCAGTGTATGTCTCCTGGCAACAGCTCCGGAGCAATTTATACCAGTGTTAGGTGGTTTATTTAGCACATTAGCACCTGTCGGCTGACAAAGTGGGCAGCACGTACCTCCCCCCTCTAAAAAAGACCCTTTAAGGTCACTTTAAAGTGCAATAAAACACAAGGGATGCCACCCGACTGGAGCACAAGCAGGGAATTCCTGAGGAGAAAAAGAGCAACAAACAAACAACTTTTTTTTCACAGCAGTAAGGAAGGGAGGAAAAGAGCACCTGAAAAGCAAAGGATATTGCTGTGAAAGAGAACAAAATGTCCTCACATGTCACGGCTTCAGCTCTGCTCAGGCCGAGGCGCTGCAGCTGCCTGGGGTAACAGCGTGGAGCTGGGTCAGGGAGGTTTAGGATGGATTTCAGGGAAAGGTTCTCCCCACAGGGTGGTCGGGCACTGCCCAGGCTCCCTGGGAATGGTCCCGAGGCTGCCAGAGCTGCAGGAGAGCCTGGATAACGCTCTCAGGGACACGGTGGGATTGTTGGGAGCTCCGTGCAGGGCCAGGAGATGGACTTTGATGATCCCGATGGGTCCCTTGCAGCTCAGCATATTCCAAAATTCTATCAACTGGGAGGGGGAAAGTCTAAGACCACGGTAGCAAACGCTGCTGCGGCTTGTGCGGTAAGGAAACTTCACACGATCCGCAAGATAAGGGAAGGCACGGAGAGTGGAAATAATAACAATAACAACAATAATCCTCTGGGATGCCCCAAGGGAAGGCACCACCAGCCGAGCCCGGCGATGGTGGGGGG